CAGGGCCCCGTCATGATGGGGGGCCCCCCAAAAGCCAAATGCAACAACTGTTGTGTCTTGTCAAGAAAATGGAAAAGCTGGAGACCATTCTCCTAACAGAAATATGGTATGAAATTTCGAGAATCATGAATAAAACAATCATAAGCTTACAAAAGAGTGATTCAACCATGGACGTAATAGCAAAATCTATCCGACTGCATCTCTAATATACGAGGTAGTTTCGATCAATATGAATCCCACGTCAGGAAAAAGTATCCAGGTGCAGATTACAAAGATGCCTTTCAAAGGAAAAGAGGATCACTTTTCGAGGGCCCATCAGAGGATACGCAACTGAATGGAAAAGAAAATTCCGACTTGAAACATTTCTTCCCATAGTTCAGTTAAAGCAACGTTCGGAGTCGTACAAGGAAGTGAATGAATGATTTAGTTTTCTTTCACAATTGTGAACAATTGATCATGATCAGTTAACAAAAAAGTTGGGAATTTTCAAAAATACATCATGAAGATATCAGCGAAGCTGAACTGACATCAGAATGTTCACATTTGGGACATTATCTGCTGACCTTGAAAAACGAATCGGCTGAAAGTATTCCGGCATTGCATAGCCTCCTGAGAAGGAACAAACTGGAAATTGCAACAAGAATTTTCCTGTGTCTAATGGTCACTAACTTCAGCGGAGAGCAGTCTTTTTCAAAGTTGAAGAGAACAAAAAATGAATCAAGAACGTCCATGTCACAACAAGTTTGTCCCTTATGACTATAGAGAGTGACATTTTGCAGCAACTGGAGTTTGACGACATCATTGAAGATTTTGCCGAAATGAAATCACGGAAAAAGCCCATAATATTGATGTAAGGCAATTTTTAATTCAATAAATATGTTTTATTAGAAATACGCCTGTCTTCGTTTTTTTAGGGGGGGGGCAAGCTTCTGTAGGCCCAGGTCCCCCGCTTGGCTCAAGACGTCCCTGAACATGCGCTCTTGCTACTCAATCAATTTTCCACATCTTCTCAGAGACCAGCTCGGCATTCTACAACCAACAAAGCATGCTGGCGAACTGACTTCAAACATGGTCATTGAGCGTGTAGTGTCGCTGCGTCATTCCTCCATAGATGACGCTTTTGGTGACACTCACAGCGCTCATAGCGAGAAAACGCGGGAGGAACTATTTGCGCTAGCCAGCGTTTTTTTGTTTTGACATTATATAGATTTTTTAAATAATAGCCCTGCTGGATCCTCAAACAGTACCAGAAATTCTGGTCATATAACGGGCGCACTCGCAAATTTTTAGGTAAAATTATTACATTGTTATAACTATATCCTCCTCTTAGAACTTGAATTATGCAGGGTGACCCACGTAGAATTGCAGCGATTGAATGCACAAAAAGCTTTAGCAATTTAGCTAGAATATTTTCAAAATGGTGGCACCTTCGGTTGTACCAGAAGTAAATACCAACCTGCTTGTTTTAATGAGGAAGCCCTATATACATGTATAATTCAATTTTTCGATTCTACTTGACTCTAAATACACCTTACATAAATTTAACAGTTTTTGAGATTCAGCAAATTTTGCGTAAAAACCAACGGAAAAAACGTTTTTTCTCGTATTTTTGTCTTTGCCATATGATTTGTAACAGGTTTCTTATAGTGTGGTGCTCTAATAGATTTTATTCCGGATTTGGAAAGCAAATAGTACAGGGCGTACAAAAAACTAAAATTGTATTTTAAAAACCTAATATCAATTTAAAAAAAAAACACATTTTTACATCCCACGCCTACTGGCGAAGAAGTAGGTATTGTAATCTACAAAATTTTCGAAAATGATTTTGTTTGTGTCCGTCTCACTCGTTTCCATCGGTCTGTCTGTCGATATGTCCGCCAATCTTATAACCGCCTATAACTTGAGAAGTACTGCTTTCAATGAAATTGTTACACAATGTTAACTACAGTATATTCAGATAAGATATAGACCGGATGTAAACAAAAGGTTCGGGTGATTTTCACGCTAACGCCGCCGTCTCGACGTAAAACAGGAGCCCTCATTGGTCAATTCGCAATTAAATGCCTATGCCGAGCGGCAGAGCAGCCGTATCAAGGCAGAGTCACATTCAGGTTCAGACGTGTTACGTATGTCGTGTGCATCATTGCAATTTGATACTCGTATTTCTTTGGACGTTTTCGTTTGTTATCTTATTAAGTTGTTGAGTTTGTCGTTGTTATTGTTATACCTTGTTATTGATTGTTATTGTTATCAACTGCTTGCGCAAAATGCCCAGTAGTACAGATACTGCCGATGAAGTTGTAAACTCCTGTAGTCCACCTAGGAAACGCTCTAAAAAAAGACACCTGAGTGCAGAAATGAAAGAGGTCATTTTGAATATATATAAGATCGAGCGCGAGGAGAACGAGGCATCAACCATCAAAGAAATTGTTGTGAAGGTTTCTCACAAAGTTGGGGTGTGTCGCGCATCAGTGTTTAATGTGTTAAGACAATACAAAAAAAATCACACCTTTTATGAGCCAATGACCAGTAAACATCGCAAAAGTATTGTTAAATCATTGGATGAAGCTGATAAGCATGCGATTAGGAGGAAAGTGCATGAATTCTTCTTTAGGAATGAAATACCTACTATAGATAAAGTACTGCAGGAGGTAAATGGAGATACAACGTTGCCAAATTTCAAACGATCAACTTTCCATGCGTTACTGAAGCATTTAAATTTCAAATGGAAAAAACGGGGTCGTAATAGTTTACTACTGGATAGAGAAGAAATTGTGCTATGGAGGAGGGATTATTTAACAAAAATTGGGAAATATAGAAATCAAAACAGGAAGATTTATTACCTTGATGAAACGTGGGTAAACGCAGGACACACTACAAGTAAAGTATGGGTTGATGATTCTGTAACTTCATCCAGGAGGGCCTTTCTAGATGGACTGTCCACCGGATTAAAAAATCCAGCAGGTAAATACGAGCAATAGACAACAATCGGATGTTTTTCAAACCTTGGGAACAAGGTTCTAAACATTAATTCCAGGGGGCAGATAAAACATATTACAAGTAACAAAACTTTTATAACTTTCGATAAAATGCGTGGATGTTTTATTGTCATTTTCATTTGTTAGAACTTTTTTAAGCCATGTTTTTATGTGTTTTCGATATTTCAATAATTTTTTAATATAATCTTAAAATATGTCGAATATTATAAACTTAAAAGAAGTTACTAAGTTTTATATTGTGTACCGTTCCTAATATTTCTAATTATTTTAATTCATACTTTAAGCTTTATAAAGTTATAATTTGTTAATATTAATATTTGCGCGTATTTCAGGTTCCTGATCATTCATTTTTTAAAGGTTTATAACTTTAAATTAAATTGTGAAGCGCTGAGTAATCATACGACGTTCAATATTCTTTCTTTCAATATGACTAAATAATCCCAATTATAGCAATCTGATACTCATGCCTCAATGTTTTTTCGCTGAATGTGATGAAAACATTTGAAAAAGGTTCGCTTATTGAAATAAATCTACACCAGTTAGTACTTCGATTTCCAGGTAAAGGGAAAAGGCTCATTATCTGCCATATTGGCAGTGAGAATGGATTTGTTGTTGACGGTCTGTGGTGCTTTGAGTCTAAGAAAACTGGAGATTACCACGAGGAAATGAATGGCGAATCGTTTGAACAGTGGTTTTCAAAAATTTTACCGAACTTAGAGGAAAACGCAGTAATTGTGTTGGATAATGCGCCTTATCATTCTCGAAGAATGGAGAAGGTCCCAACAACGGCTTCAAGGAAAGTTGATGTTCAAAATTGGCTCGGCTCGAAAAATATCAACTTTGAAGAAGCAATGCTGAAAGTACAATTATTAAGAATTGTCGAGGATCACAAGGCGGAATATCAAAAATACGCCATTGACGAAATGGCAGCAAGTCAAAATAAAACTGTGCTCCGTTTACCTCCATACCATTGCGAGCTCAATCCCATTGAGCTCATATGGGCAGAGGTTAAAAATTATATAGCTAAGCACAATACAACTTTTAAATTTTGTGACCTCAAAGGACTTTTCAAAGAAGCACTAGAATTAATAACAGCGCAAAAATGGGAAAACTGTATTAAGCACGTGAAAGACAAAGTTGAAAAGAGAATGTGGGACCTGGACAATATTTTAGAGGAACAAGTCGAGCCATTCATTATTGACGTTGGTGCTTCAGACAGTAGCGATGATTGAAAGCTCATCAAGCTCATCTTTCCAATAAAAGATGTCGTTCATCAAATTCGGTAAGTTATAAGTAATTATAAAGCTACTGTATTTTTTAATTAATTATTGACATTTTTGAACCCATTTTGGCAAAACCTATTCAAGAATCTACTTTCTGACAATGTTCAACCACGCACATTTTTTTACGTTTTGAACGTTTTAATTTGGTTACATATTTACCTAGAAATCAAAAAATATACTAATCAATATTCTAAAAGCAATTTTAAGAGATATACGATTATTTTTAATTTAGGCTAATTTAAACGCCATTTTGAGATTATATTCGACTGTATTTCACCAAACATCAGGCGGCATCCGAAGCTGGAAATCGAAGCGAAAATTTTGAAACCCTTATGTATATTTACATCATTATATATTTCTTACCCCACCCCACGTCCCTGCCGAATGTTACAGCGTTCGATGATCACGTGGTCTTGTTTATGTCCGGTCTATCTCTTATCTGAATATACTGTAACTAGTATGTCAAGGACGCAAAGCTTTGTAGTTTTTGAAAATCGGTCCCCCTGCGTCAGAGAAAAAGGCCAAAATAAAAAAAAACTCGAAATTTCTTCTTCTGACGTCTCAGAGGATCTTGATCATTTTTGAAGAAAACTTTAGAAGTACAAAAAACTGATAGTGCACATCCACCTAAATGTAGAATATACAATGCGTTAGTAGCCAGGAAGCCAGGTATCAGGTATTATAATTATGTTAATGAAAACAGTTTCGTCACTTCATGGTCAACTGCAAGTTGTAGTACGAAGTGTATTAGTCATCTCGTCAGCTGTGCATTTTCAAAGCTCAGATTTCGTTTTCCAATCGCTGATTGCTAGATACCGCAACGCCTCATACTTTTTAAAAGGAATCGACCATGTAACGCGATACTTAAGTAAATATGCCTAGCCGCTTTTACGATAAGATAACAAAACATTCAGTCCGCTATTGCACCCAGTATGACAAAAGATAGGTTAGGTGAGCTCTTAAAGGTAATTGGTTTGGTTGATATTCAATCGAATCCAATGAAAACTCATTGTGTTTTTTTCAGGCGCAGAAGAACAGTAAGAAGGATGTCGAGCTTGACGTTGAACAAGTAAGTTTTTAGCGGGATATAAGTAGAGAAAAGAGACAACGCCTTATAAACCTACCTTTTCCAGGAAAATAACAATGAGGGAGGGAAAAGTGACTTGAAAAAGACGTTTGAAAGGGCTGAAGTGATAAGCCAATGGTTGCAGGGCATTGAAAAAAACGTTGAAGCTATCAAAGAATACGAAAGTAGGATCAATGACCTTAGGTATAATCAAACAGGTATGGTACTCGTTTGTGTTTATTTACGATACGTAATATCAAGCGTGGAAATAGCCTTGGCGGTAGAGCGTGAAAATCTGGTGGTTTTACCTTTGGGTGGAAAAACATTTTCCGTTTCAAAATGACCTATAATAGACTGAGAAATATAACAAAATGTTTGAGGGAGATTGTAAATGGACAAATCATTTGCTGGAAACATGTAATTTTTTCCCAAGTAGTCTATGAATGGCTCCAATAAATAATAATTGTAGAAAAAGGTTGATCAATCAATGTATTGATTTCCATTGCATTGTCAGCAATATATAGATTTTTTATGTTTTTACAAATCACATTAAGGTAATTCTATTTTCTTATCATGCAACTACAATACGTTCTCAAAAAAATAACCAGCCGACAATCGTAGAACTTCTCTTAGCTGTAGAATATACTTTTAATAAAAAAATATTTTTTTTTTAAAAACTTGCAATAAAAACAAAAATCTAACATTTTAATTTGATATTTATTGTGCTTTTATAACGCGTCAGAGCACATATTATTCACAAGGGAGGTCAGAGTCATCCCCGATAGCATTAAATATTATTAAAAAATGTTTGATAAATATTTGTAGCGATAGATTTTTTAATATTTAATAGATATATTTCTTATATATTTATAAAATATTCATTATAGATGTTTGTAGTATATATAATTCATATATTTTTGCGATATTTTTTCCAAATATTTAGCAAATATATGAGGAAAGATCTTTAAATATCAATTTTATATTTTGATGAAATATCTAATATTTTTTGTAAATATAGATGGATTTTCAAGCAATAATCCGATACATATTTTCAGTGTAGGTAGAAAATTCTTCATCGGTTATTTTAGCAAAACCTGTAGGAATGCTTATATAAAATTGGGTTTATAAATAAAATTCATTCTAGATATAATGGTTTAATTTGCTAGAAATATGTTATCAAAAAAACATTTTAAGCCTCTTCTGCATCTTGCAAGTCCACTCCTCTGAAAAAAAAAACAAACTTACTAATTATGAAGTATTATTGAATACATAAGCTGCTTTCCAGTGTATTTATTGGTTCTGGGCATGGTGAGTTACTCCGAGTAGCTCAACTGGGTCACTGAAAAGTAGCTCTATAATGCACCTAAAAGGACCCCTCATGTTATGCCTATGATAGTTCGAGATTTGTTTAATTTTTAAGAAAATTTAGTATGTGATTTTAGATATCTTGATGAAAAATGTGCATGGGCACAACTTGATGCTTTGACTAACACTTATTGATTTTGTTGAAATGTGACTTTTTTTAGTAGTACACTTCAAGGCTAGTTATTTATGGTCTTATGAATACCTTTATACTTAACTGGCCCAATATTGTTCAATAGTCAGATAAATTCAGCTATATAATTATCGAAAAACTTACCCTTTTCCACAAAAAAAACACTTAAATAATGAACCACTTGGAGATATACAGGAAGCACGCTATCATAGTGAAAGTCACAGGTAAAGTGGCTGCCGGCAAATCGTCTCAGGCAGACTTGTTATTATCCCATTGGTCGCTCGAGGTCACACGCACATGCGCCGTAACCGAAAATTCTCAATGAATATTTTCTAAATATTGGAGATTTAATATTTTCCATTTATTTAAAAGTAAATATTTGGTGAATATTATAAAAGAAATATTGTATTAAAAATATTTAAAGGATATTGAATAAATATTTAAAAAAATATTATATTACAAATATTTATTAAAATATTATATTACAGATATTTATTAAAGTTTAAGAAAACAAATATTTAAGCAAGATAAAAATATTATTAAATATTAAATAGGTATTTAATGAATATTTGATGCTATCGGGGATGTGAATAGAAGTAAATTGTCTGACTTTTAGCGGTTTTTGGTGTTAAAAATTCAAAACTAAGAAAGGGGCCTTGACGATAAAATAACCTGATGAAAAAGATAAAAAACGTTTTCAACCCTATTTTTTGCAAATAAAAATTGAAGCCGAACATTTTTTCCTGACACTACCCTTATTCTCATTCAGTAACCCTCTTCATACGTTTTAAGCAGATAATTTTTCCACTTACAAATTCCCCTGAACTACAGCTCGATTTACGATAGATTGGCTGCCAGAATGAATGTCAATTGTGTGACATTTAGTATGAAGAGATTAGCTTAAATTATGTAAAATAGAAAAAATATCGAAAATGCATTTCACGTTCAAAAGTTGCTCAAAATTATCTCCTATCGAGAGCTATCGAAAGCTTTGAAGCTTATTTTGTAGACTGAATTACAAAAGAAAAGCAATCTGGAGAAAACTTTGAGAACTTTGTCAAAAAATTAGTAAAATGTATTTTCCAACATAATGCCTCACGGAATCACCAATATTTTATACATTTTCATCATCACCATTATAAAGGGTGTTTCAGATTCGACCGTCACCATTGGGAACTCGGAAACTGTAAGAGATAGTCGCTCAAATGCGAGCGATGCTGCGAATTTAGGTAATCAACAAAATGCCGCTTAAAAAGTTTCAAAATTCAAAGTGCTTCCGGAGAGAGACGGAATAAACCGAATTTTCTCAAAATAGTTTTAATTTTTTCCTCACTTTACTTGTAGTGGGATTTCAAAATAAATTGCACATTGACACTGCCACCTTTTCTCCTCTACAAGACGGCATAATTAGATTTTCATTATGACGTTTCATCTCTGGTTCTCCACCATTAACTTTATTTTTTCTTATGGATGCTATATTGGATTTATGCACAAATGAATAGAGTTTTTAATTCCGATTCCAAAAATATATATAATACGTCATACATTCACGCCGCCAAACATTAGTTACTTCAAAAGAGCAAAAGTTCCTAGGTAGTCCTTATAATTCTCATATTTGCTTCTTATACCAGACCAGACCTCAAATTGAACATAACAACAGAGTTTGGAAGACTGAAAAGAAGAGAAATAAATCGAGCATCAGTGACCAATGTACAGAGAAGTCAGGCTTTGCCTACAAAATAACAGACAACATTTTGAACATCTGCTATGATTTACCTCTGCTTACTTATGATTATTGTGGTTATTACCATCAATAACATTTTCATTTTGTGTTCAAGTTTCACCATACTTTTTATTTCCTTATAATTTTTATCCAACAACAAATTCATGACCAACTAAGGGAATGCGTCACTGAATTTAGGACTGAAAAGTCCATTGAAATTTACAAAATTCCAATATAGCGTCCATATGCAAAAACAAAGTCGGTGATAGAAGTCAAAAGAAAAAATGTCGAATTGAAACTTTGACTACGCCATCTTGTAGAGGAGAATAAGAGACAATGTCAACATGCAGTTTAAAAATCCCTCCAGTAAGGTCACGAAGAAATAAAAGTGTTTTTAGGATAAATACTCGTGTAGTATGCAAGACAAATGACTTTCTGATAATTTCAAGGCCTACCTATTAATTTTGCTATTTCAGAAATAACTAAAGTTTGACAATTTCATTGTAAGACGTATTTACGTTTTTGGAATGAGAACTAAAAACTCTATTCATCTGTGGAAAAATCCAATACAGGCGTCCATAAGAAAAATCAATTTAATGCTGGATGACAAGTGACGAATCGTCATATTGAAAATGTAATTATGCCATCTTGTAGAGGAGAAAAGGTGGAAATGTTAATATCCAATACAAATAAAGTTGGAAAAAAATGAAAAAGGTTTTGGGAAAATTCGTCTCTCTCCAAAAACCTTGAATTTCGAAACTTTCTAAGCGGCATTTTGTTAATTACTTGAATACGCAACTTTGCTCCCAACGACTTGGAATCTCTTACAGTTTCCGAGATCCCAATGGAGATGGTCGATTTTGAAATACCCTGTATATAGAAGATAAAAGACTGATGAAAATGTGTACTTCAACCAAGTAATATTTGGCTTAATTTCAGTTGATAAACCAACTGAATAATTGTTCAAACAAATGAAAAATTACGAACAATGCTGCCCGTTTAAAAACTCATATGTAGAACGATATTTAATGACGTTTCGGCCACCATCTCGATGGTTTTTTTCAAAGTACAAATGTAATGAATCAACGAAGTGATCGAAAAATTCTCGAAATTTTCACAGAGCTATAGAGCTCAAAAAGGACACCTTCAATTTTTATGCGAAGTTTGGAAATCCTTAAACTGTTTTCGTATGGATTGGATTAGATGTAGAAAATATATTTTTCTTCATGCGCCTTAAAAATAGTCGGTTACTTATAGTTACTTACTGTCTTTACAGACCTCAACGAGAAAATCGACACCTTATTCCAAAACAACACCAGCATCTGCCACAAAATCAATGCAAAACTGAAGGAAATTGATGAGGAGTTAAAACAAACTGCTGAAGACTCTGCAGAGGGCAGAATCAAAGCAATACAGTACAACACCCTCAAAACACGATACATAGAAACTTTCAAAAGCAACAACAATGCATTGGAAAATTATAGAAATGTACAAAAGGCAAACTTGGATGCCCAACTCAGAGCCAAAGGGATTCGAATGACAGATGAAGAACTTGTGCATTTATTGGAGGAGAACACTGACATGCAACTGTTTACTGACAACGTAAGGCTGATTTTACTTCCCACACCTACTGACGCGAAAAATTTCGAAAATAAGACATACCTGTACTCTTTTTGAATATTATATGATATGTACTATACATCACAAAAAACCATGTCACTCATTTCCATCGGTCTGACTGTCTGTCCGCTAATATTTAGGCCCCCTATAACTTGTATACTAAGTGACATATAAATCCAAACACCCAGTTTAAATGGTTTTATTTTAATAAAAGTTGGTGAATGTATTTATCTTACTGTAAATAACAAGTGAAAAAATTTTCAGCCTTATCAGTTGGACATTCCGATTTTTTACTGCCTTTTTTTAATTCACTAACGCTCTAAAAATGAATATTTCAGCCGCAGTAAAGAATCAACGTTGGCGGATTTTGGTTCTTGACATCCTTTACGATCGGTTACGATGCCTAGAGTACGGAGACCTGTACGATTTCGTCAACTTAGTGAGTTTGATAGGGGCCGTATAGTGGGACTTCGGGAAGCTGGACTTTGTTTTCGAGCAATTGCAGTTAGAGTGCAAAGAAGTGTAGACACTGTGGTTAGGTGTTGTCAGGCATGGCTTCGAGAAGGCCGTACGCAAAGAGCAAGGGGCACTGGACGCCGCCGCAGAACAACAGACCGTGAAGATCGCCGCCTAAGATTATTGGCCTTAAGGGACCGTTTCTCCACTACCAGGTCCATTGCAAATGAATGGTTTGCAGAACACGGAAGACCTATTGGCATGCGAAGTGTTTACCGACGAATGAGAAGTTTTGGCTTGTTTTCATACCGGCCACACTGGGTCCTCCCTTTATCTCGAGAACACCGACGTAATCGCCTTGAGTGGTGCAGACAACGGTCACTCTAGGATCAGGAATGGAACAGTATTGTCTTTAGTGACGAGTCTCGATGTTGTTTAGGCATGCACGATGGTCGTGCCAGGGTTAGAAGGCGACGTGGTGAAAAGAGGAATCCACAGTTTTTTGTTGAAAGACATGTTCATCACACTGTTGGAGTTATCGTTTGGGGTGCTATAGCTTATGGTTCCAGGTCACCTTTAATCTTCATCAGAGGTAACATGAACGCGCAGCGTTATATCCACGAAGTTCTAGAACCCCATCTTTTTCCCTATCTTGACACCCTGGCAGATCCAACTTTCCAACAAGATAATGCCCGACCACATGTTGCAAGAGTCACAATAGACTTCTTTCAACATGATGATGTCACATTGTTACCATGGCCACCAGGATCTCCCGACTTATCCCCAATTGAGCACGTGTGGGATATGATGGGTAGGAGATTGCTCAATTTGCAACGTCCTCCTCAGACTCTAGAAGCACTTCGAGAGGAGTTGGTGGTTGCCTGGAATGAGATACCACAGGAGGACATTGACCACCTGATCAGAAGCATGCCTAGGCGCGTTGGAGAATGCGTAGCACATCAGGGTGCATCCACACATTATTAAAGGTCAAAGGGCTTTAAAGCAGTGCAATCATTTTGAAATTTTTATCATTTACTTATTATGCTTCATTAAGTACTTATACAAAATTTTATTAAAATAAAACCATTTAAACTGGGTGTTCGGATTTATATGTCACTTAGTATAAATACCCATGGGATTTGGATGAAATTTTTAGACAAGGTTACTACTAGGCAAAGGACCAAAAAGGTTTGTAGTTTTTAAAATTAGGTCTCGTGGCAGCAAAAAAAAAGACAGGACGAAAAAGAAAAAAGTAGATGTGGTAAATAATAAAGAAACAGCTGTGAAAAAATCTCTTAGATGACGCTATTTTATCTTGGATGCTTTTTTGGACGCGCAAATATGGTTTGGTTATCTTCAGGTAGAATGCGTTGATAAATGCTTTTCAGATAATCGCAGATAGCATAGAAGCAAAAAGACAATTAAGGGATATCGAAGAAAGACATCAACAATTATTGAAGATCGAACGGATGTTGATGGAGATTCGAGATTTATTCTTGCAAATGGCCATACTGGTTGATACTCAGGTACTCGAAAAATAAAGATAGTGTGTTTATCTATTTATCTATCTGTGATTATTTATTATTATATTCATACACGTATTTGTTGCAGCAAGAGCTAATTGATAGGGTAGAATACCAAGCACAGGCTGCGCGGGATTTCGTTGCAAAGACACCGAAAATCTTACAGGACGCTAGCAAAAAGAAAAGGAATTATTTGAAGGTGAGATTTGCTATATAAGTTATTTTAAATAATTGTTATATTGCCGCTTATATTTTTTACAGTGTAAAATATACATGGGGATTACAATACTTATACTAGTGGTGATACTTTTGATAATGCTGCTGAAGTGATTTTTGTTATTATAGGACTTATATTTTGTAACTAATTTATTGAATAAACAATACCTGAGACGGATTATCTTTTAACATCCAGCAAACTAACTTATTTATTACTTCTCTGAATAGAGCCTTAAGGTTTTGTGTCTTATGAAGTTTTGCCAGATTATTATATACAATGTGTTTGGTCACTACGTACCGATATTTGAGGGGGGTATTTTTCAGCTATTTTTATCGACAAATCCACCCCCTACAATGTCCTACCTCACCCCTCTTGAAATGCCATCCATTTTTATTTTTACATTACGATTACGCTAGTGTATCTAAGAAAATTGTAATAACAGAATGATAAATTTGGTGTCATTTGAACGATAACATGTTGCCCTATCGATTGTTGAAAAACTTGTATTGATACTAACCGTCAAACATACTTAAATACAGACAAAAACAAAAAAAAATATGCAAGAAAATTGATTATTTTGTGCATTTCCGCACACCATTCAAAAACTAGTATGGGAAGTTATGCTTTTTTGTGCCAATTCTATAGCTAAGTATGTCATCTACAGAATGAGACCAAATTTGTTATCCTGTCTTCTACGTTAAGTAATAGATGCTATCTATCATTGGTTAAAATGGGTGTAATAAAATGCAAATTGCTTTCAAACTTTTTATACAAAAAAAAATGACAAATCAATGTTTCTCATGAAGAGTTTGGACATGTTCAATGTTACAGAAGCTGTTCAGAATGTCGTCCATTGTTGGTTATGCACATTGTTGCTCTTAAAACCATGTGTCGTGTTGAGCGGCGGACTATATCCGTGTCAGCTGTAATTCCGTTCGCAGCGGTATGGATCCTTTCCACGAGTTCTTTCCATGTCACCGACACATGACAGTAAACTTTTTGCTTCATTGTGCCCCAGAAAAAATAATCTAGGGGCATTAAATCGGATGAGCGGGTGGCCAAGCGACAGTGCTTCCACGACCTGTCCATGGGGAATGTTGCCCATCCAAATGTTCTCGTACAATTCGCGCAAAGTGTGCGGGAGCTCCGTCAAGCTGCAACCTCACGTTGCGGCGGTTGGTAAGTGACAGATCATGGAGTAGATCTGCAAACTCGGTCCTCAAGAACTCCAAAAATCTCTGAAAATTTATTACGTGCACGATTTGGCATGATAGAGACTTAGACGTGACTAATAAAACGTTCAGTCACAAATCACTTCCAACTCAAATACGTTCGGAAAATTGATGTTGAAACTAGGCAGCGATGGTAAAAAAATGCACGTATGATCACAACGCTTGGCGAGGGACTACAAACCACTCACTATGACATTAACAACAAATAACCGGATGTTACCATCTCGATAACGAGACCTTTCGGTAGATGTTGTCTCACTCACACTCTCAATACATTCATCTCTATACCAGGAATGTTTAATTCGGTACGCTATCTGAATTGGAGAGGCTTGCCAATGGTCATGTTTAAGCAATATTTGTACTTAAACTAACTAACATAGGGCAACCAGTTTGGTGTCATGTTGTAGATAACATAGTTAGCTGTAGAATTAGCACAAAAAAGTACAACTTCACAGACTAGTTTTTGAATGGTGCGCGGAAATGCACAAAATAATCAATTTTCTCGCAGGTTTTTTTCCGCTTTTGTCTGTTTTTCAGTAGGTAGGTATGTTTGACGGTTAGTATCAATACAAGTTTTTCAATAATCGCTAGGACATGTTATCGTTCAAATTACACCAAATTTATCATTCTGTGACACTTATGTACTCAGTTATTACAATTTTTTTACATGCACTAGCGTAATCGTAACGTAAAAATAAAAAGGGCTGCCATTTCAAGGGTGATGAGGTAGGATATTGTAGTGGGGTGGATCTGTCGATAAAAATAGCTGAAAAATACAGCCCTTAAATATCGGTATGTGGTGACGAAACACATTATATGTATATATATATATATATATATATATATATATATATATATGATTCATAGTTATTGTTGAAATAACCAGTTAAATGGAAGACTTTTTCTTTGGGATATCGACAAATTATGCTAAGTGTACCCTTTGACTTACAATACTCAAGCTTTCGAAAGACTATTCTGCCATCATCAGGAGCTAAAAACAAATTAACAATAGTAAAACAGCAACCATGCTCGATTGATTAGAAATCATTTAACTTATTCCGTCAGTGAGAATGATGCTAATATTCGATGTTCAAAAATATAAAAGAGGACATAAGGTGAGGTGATCAAAAAAAAAAATATATATATATATATAAAGAGAAAATGATAATGCGGAGAAAGGTATATAACAAAAAAATAGGAAAATAGTGGACTTAGGCCCGTATCGTCACTCGTTCCTACAATTGTAGGGCGCCTGTATGGCCTCCTTGATTGTTATAGTTTTATACTTCTCCGTGTCAGCGCTCTATTTTGAGGTTATGTCACAAACATCTATTTGCAACAAATTGTGCTTGCTTTTGAGTTATATCATGTTTTATCAGCCTGAAATTTCCTACAATTTAAAAAAAGAGAACATACCTTCACAATAGGAGAGCGCTGACGCTGACACGGGACAAGTGTAATCTAGAAATTTTTGAAGGAGAGAAAGCAGTATGACAATCAAGGAGGCCATAAACGCGCCCTAAAATTGTAGGGACGACTGACGATACGGGCCCTAATCCGTAAAAATAAGTAAAGTGGATTCGAGCACAAAAGTAGATACACATGCCCACACATCCAGATACGGGTGTAACCTGAGGAAACGCAGATGGAGAGGGGAAAGAATGACACACACAAAGTCCCCAACAAGAGCCAACCTGGACATTGTAGTATAAAATGGCTAGAAGACCTCGAATCTTCAAGGCGACATCTAACCACGCGACCGGTTATAGCCACTTGCTGTGGTCCTTCAAGCCTAAAGGATCTACAAAGAGAAAATGATCATACTCAGGTTACCTATCCCATTTTCTGCTCGAATCCACTTTCCATTTTTGCGGATTTTGCCCATTATTATCCTATTTTTTGTTGTATACCTTTCTCCACATGATTATTTTCTCTTTATACATATATTAAGTAAGTTGAAAAGTGACACTATGTACGTTTTTTTATGAGATTATGTCGGTTTTCCCACAAGGCAAAGTTGGAAGTAGCTGTTGTTCACTTAGTCATCAATTTTACATTTTATCGTTCTTTACATTATATACTCGTAGGTTTTTTACGTAATAACCTTGCTGTAATGCATTTGATGAACGTGAATTATCTTTGTGAGAATGAGTATACGGATTTATAGATAACAGCAAGGGAATATCCATGTTTCCCTAAATTAACGTAAGCGCCATCTGCTATTATGAAGATTGAATCTCATTTATACTTGAGTGTCAACACCGACTCTCAGTCCCTCAGTTTGCTTGGAGTGATGAAAGACCTTGAACTTGCTGTCTAGCTGATTAAGTTTATATCCATAACGATATATCCGATCGGTCTCACAAATCTGACGGGTGACTCAGAAATTATTTCAAACCAGAAACATTCGTCCTGTGTCCTTTCATAGTTTTCTACTGTTCCGTGTCAGACCTCTATTTTGAGGTTATGTTACAGATACCTATTTGCATCAAATTATTCATGCTTTTGATTTATATCATCTATTAGATTAGCCTGAAATTTCCTACAATTAAAAAGAAAACATAGCCTCACAATAGAAGAGCGCTGACGCTGATACGGAACAGTAGAAATCTAGAAATTTCGCAGCCTTTTTGAAGGAGAGCAAATACTATGAAAATCAAGGAGGCCATAAAGGCGTTCTACAATTATTGTAGGAACGACTGACGATAGGACCACCTCATTTACTCCGCGTAAAAACAAACAAAAGGACTCTCGATTCTGGATTGCTCCTTCTATTCGCTTGTCTCTGCCGTCTGCCAGCCCAGGCACTTATGGTCCATCGACCAATAACATTATCGCGCGTATTTGAGCATCACGCGCTGATGTTTGTTTTGTCGGAGGGTAAAAACGGTCTTCTATTCATCATTGTCTGTCAGAGCGGTCCGTAGGACCTTTGCTCTTCGTTAAAATATTATAAAGTAAGGGAGAAATAAGAAAAGGAGAAAGAAAGGAAGGCTGGAGGGGGGGGGGGGTGAAGAAGAAAGGAGTGCGTCAATTTGAGAAATGCCTTGGCATTGCTAACTAGTATTCGGTATTTTAAATTGATGCTAAAATTAACTTAGACATTGATTGTTGACCAGTAAATACGGTTTCAATACATTTTGGGTAAATGTATTTTGAAATAGGATTTTTCTTTTTCGCAGATTGCTGCTTGCAAGTCCGTTATCTTGATTTTCCTTTTAAGACTACCAGAGTTCCGGCAGACGATGTCGAGATGATACGAGATGGGTTTTTTATTTCCTCAAAGAGGGTGAAATATAACGTAACGTGCGACGTTCGTCATCATTGTTCGTGCAGAAGTTTCGTTAAGTTCGGTCCAGTCTAGACTTATTACAGACTGTGTTTCGAAAATTAAGAAGCTATTTTGTCCTGGCCAGACGTTTTATATAGTAAGTAATCTCGTAAATAATATGTTGTACAAAATTGAATTTCAAACATATCTCACTTTTGAAACTTTCTGCCACTATTAGTATAATATACTGTTCTCGCTAGAAGCCAATTGATGTTATTTTTATCAACAGTAACTAAAATAAAATCCCCTGTCGTCAGAAGTGGAATACCAAGACCACTGATTAGATTATCTAGGACACACTAACGAAAATATAATATTTAAAAATCGAACCTGTAAGAATTTCTGATTATCTTTGTCTAATATACATATGGGCCGCTAATTTGGACAAACATTATTTACCTTGACTAATTTTTCAAGGAGATCAACAGTCTCTTCCCTGTCTCCCTTCCTACTGATACCACTGAGAATATCCCTCCTACATGGCAATTCAAAATCTTGGCAAAATACTTAATCCACTTGAGAAGTACCTGATGGGTCCACAAAATATATTGGTTTAGATAAACCCTCTGTGTTTTCACAGCTTGAGAGTCAATAAAAGAGAACAGCTCATACCACTTGAACAAAGTA